TTATCACAAACACTATACAAGAAATTTCTTAAAAAACAAGTAACTGCTTATAAAATTTATGAAAATATTATTAAGTTAATATTATTTTTTATTCATCTCGGGTTATTTTGACAATTTTGTTTTAATCTAATAAATGTCAGCAGGTCTAAAATATTTTCATCGTGAAGAAAATCAAACCACATTTCAAACAAATTAACTAGTTTTTACATCGGGTGACTGGTTACTTTCATATTTTCTCGACGTTTCATGACCCCAAGAGTAAGAAAAAATAGGCCTCCTGTTTCCGTCTATCTATTAGATAGATAATCTTCGAAACCACTGGACCAATTAGTGTCAGAGTTTGTACTATGTATTTGGAATTTCGTCTAGATGGTAAAACCAAAATGAGTCTAATCACTCCCACCAACAATGGGATGACGTCATCTTCAAAGTTCATAGTAGTAATAGAATAAGATACTCCTACAGTGTGGTTTATGAATTGGAAGACATTTTGCAATTTAAGTTTGAAATTGCAAAACCGAATATTATGAAATCTTACATTCGTAAGCATTGTAAATGATTAATCAAAATTTAATTTAAATCCTATCTAAAATATGCAAAGATTATGATTAGATTATGACTCTAAACTTGTGGTTTATCAATGCATTCGTATTTTTTAGTTATGATATCCATTCCAATTTCTAGATTTTTGTTTCTGCTACTTTCTGAATAAATGAATGGATGAAACAATTACATTTATTTTGCAAATTATCTGAAAAATGGTTTTTGTATTTTTTTAATAAACATCCATTTGTTTAATAATTTTCATTGATTCTTCTGTTTGGCAGAAATGAGGAACTAATATTTCCATATTTTGCAATAAACTGTAGTTCCTATTTGGGTTGTCTCGACAAAAACTATAAATTAAAGAAGAACTAGTGTTAAAATAAAATATGTACCAGGCTATTTATTGTAACTACAATTAAGTTTTGTTTTTGAAAATGAATGGTTCGTGCAAACATTTGAACTGATTTAAAAGCAAAAATTAGAATATTGTATAGCTAAGAAGACATTTTCCTACCACATTGTTTAAAAAATAAATAAAATAAATCGCTCAATTAATAAACAATAAATCGATTTTAGATTTTAATACAGTCCATAACAGCAAGTGGGAACTTTCGCACATATTTGTATATTTCTTTCAATAATAATCTACCAAGTTTGCCCACTAAAAATAGAAGGAAATGACAAATTAAAATTTTTATTTTCTTTTCATAAAGTTAATCTGTGAAATTCAGCATCTTAATATAGAGTAGGACCTCAGTTCTTATTTTCTTTTAATTTTAATTATATAATTATACAAAAACTGCGACCGGCTTTTCTTTTTTCAGAAATGACTTACATTATTCTAAGTATCCTTGTCATATAACTAATTTCTTAATATCTCATAGAAAAAACATATTACCTTTTATTTAATTTGTTAATTCATAGTCATTAGTCAATATAAAACCGCATAAACAATAGATTCCATAGTTATCCTTATTCTGTTTAAATTACTTGAGATACTTCCGATTTTCTCCAAATTTTGTTTCGATTTTTGTTTAAAACATTATTAAGAACAATTTTGCTTAAAACTTGCTTGCATGTTGAAATAAATCGTTTTATAATTTATATTTGCTTTTATTGTTTTCTTTATTTTCTAGTTCTAGCAAATGAATATTTAATTGAAGCACATTTTACATGAATTTCGTTTTTTTTTTCTAATATTTCATCATAAAATAAAGTGTTATTTTAATCTAAGCAATAAAGCACAAAGATGTCATCATTTAACACTACAATAAGTTAATAACCATGCATATGTCTCTAAATCTAATACGTATCCATTATTTTCAAGAAAATCAGCAACCCAAACATATTTATTAAGTGAGATTTATTCGAAATGCAACGAATTCATCTTCGTTTGCCAACCCCTACTTTCCCGGAACCCATCAATTATTATAACCTTCATTAATTAGAGCTCTTCTACCTACTCATTATTTTTTTCTTTAGATGCTTAACTAACCTGTGGGAAAAGTCACAGATGATAAAAACAAACATTTTTCAAAATTTAAAAATGTGGCATTGAGTGAATGAAACCTGCTAATTATAAGTTCTTAATTCCTTGTCGTTTGCGTGAGAAGAGCAAATATCGATAATTAATCATCGAAATTATAAGGGTTGCGTCGATAATGGAACATCCTCCCTCTTTCTGCACCTCGCTGTTGCGCATACATCGTCTGATTGTCCAACTAGTTGTTATTTTTTTCAGCCAGTGTTACTGTTGTCGTTGTACCATTAATACCCACTACGGTGTAAAGAATGTACTTTAGGAAATATGCATGTAATCGATAGTTTCCACTTCTTGAAACAGAATTGTATCGAAGGACGTTCATTCATGGAAGGTAAGACATGCGATTCGTTAACGTACTGATTTCTTTCAGAAATAATCAATCTGTTTGCGTTACTCTGATTACAAGCGTCAACGCTCGAGGTGTTGAAACAAAGAAATCGCTAAAGAAGTTGTACTTAAATTGTTATTAATAAATAAAAGATACAACACCAGACACCTTAGTTTTAGTTTTACATAAACTGAAATTATAATTTATATAAAATGTCGCTTGAATTTTTTTTAATTTCACATGTTTTAATAATGCTTACTTCCCTTTACTTGTCTTTTTTTTAATTTGCTTACATAAAGAATCCTTGATAACATTATTTACATAACACGTAAGTTAGTACACCTTTCAACGATGATATATTTAGAAGCTCTATTCAACATATTTACTTTTTATACACATAATATAACATAATATACAGTATGTTTCAAAAGTCTGGTGACTGAAAATTACTATTGTGAACTGTTGAAAAAAACCTACTGTTATTTTCATACACAAAGTTCTATTTAAAGCTAACGCAGCAATGATTTACATTAATAAAACTAGAATCTTTCGAACAAAGGAAAAAATCGATAGTGTTTTCTTATCAAAAAGTTGTTATATGTATTTAAAAATATATCATTCGACCCACCATTTGTAAAACTTTTTAATCATTTAATTTACGTCTAACAATTGGAGCAACTTTGAAGTTTATTTATACAGGGCCACTAAATTTTTCGTCTCATATTTTTCAAACGGGACATGCTGTATTTTACAATATTTCGAACTTTTATCTACGAAGTTTTATTTTGAAACCAGGTTTTTTCCCTTAGGAATAATTTCAAGAAAACCTCCAAAAATCTGGTACAAAAAAAGCCCAAAACTGCTAGAAAATACGGTGTCCCATTTGAAAAATGTAAGAGAACTATTAATTTGCAGATTTAAATACATTGTTTAAATGAATTAGAATATTCTTGTGTTAAAAACAAAGCAAATAAAAAGATTTAGGCAAAATTCCAGTCCTCTATCTTTAAATCTAGCTGAGTTGAAATCAGACTATTTTTGTTTTGTTGTTAGTATGGATTAACAAAACGCATATATTGTTCACTGTTGCGTTTTATCAAAAAAACACAGCCTACTTGATAATTTTTTCAACGGAACATTTGTGATTTATAATAAAATCTAGATATCTAACGACGATAAAAAATGCTCTCCTATGTTTGTAAAAACATAAATTCGCCAAATATTAGCGAATACTATCCTATTGAATCACAGATTGTCAAATAAACTTTTATGGACAAAGAATAATTTTCAAATATTCCATTATCAACTGCAGATTTTTTATTTGAATAAACATTAAAAGTTATTAGTTTATTTTCTAAGTTTTTTTTTTTGCTTATTTATGCGATTTTATACCATATGATTACAGACGTTAAAAAATGGTTTTTGATTAAATAAGTTCGTTTTTTTTTTTAACTTTTTTTTAGTGTTTTTCTTATTATAAATATTTAAAAAATTTAATTACATAAGCACTTAAAATATACGTTTTTTACGTAAATTAACAAGTATTAGATATTTAATAGAAAAATTGTCAAAAATTTTACTTTGGGTTTAAATTTAAACTACTTGAACGACAACGAACTCTTCAACAGGATGCTATCATAACCTCAAAATTTTGAGTACAAGTTAGAATAAATTTTGTTAATAGATTAATTTTTATACTGTTCTAAAATTTCAAAAATTCTGCTCTTTCTAACACAAACTAAGGTTATTCACATCGGGTAATAAAAAAAAAATAATTAAAACAAAAAAAATTAATCTCATGTTAAAAAAAACTATTACAACAAACCGTTTTTCATTCATTAACATCTCTACATGTGATGATTTTAATATAAATTATCTAACATTTTTTTTCGTCCCGCCCTCTGAGTCCCATTGTCCCCTACCAATAAATTTGTTTTGAATTACATTATATTTTTTTAATATCATTTTCAAAATAGCTCCATTTTTTTTTCTTTTGGTGGTCATATTATGAACGTCCAACTGTTTCTCTTTCGAAACAAAAACGGACGTGTTTTTATGCTTCTTTTTTGTCACACGGTATTTAAAAAAATATGTGGATTGTAGAGCAAAGTCTATAATTCCCAGTACATTTCATTCATTCTCTTCACTTTGGGGCACTGAATCCAGAGCAATAAATACTGAAATATTTTGTAGAATAGTTAAATTTCATCTTTTTTTTACATTCTACACTTTTAAACCTTCGAACGAAATATCACCTTAAAATCATGCTACTCTACGCATTGTTGGTTTTGTAACCGACTTTTATTGTCTGCACAGCTTTAGTTGCATTTTAAGAGCTTTTAATATTTAGTGTTTTATCGAAAAAAAAAAAATAAATTGGAATACCCATTGTACAAAAATTGTATAACCTTTTACTATTTTTATTTTGATAGTGAGAACGTTTTGAAAATTCGATAATAATAGTCATCGTCAAGCACGTTTTAATTTAAACAATGAAAAATAATCCACAATTTTAGATGCTTTAATAGCTACATGTACTTACATTTTTTTGTAATAACTTTATGTTTACAGATTGTCAATATTCTATGAATTGTTAACGTTGTAAAGTACTGCAAAATAAGACCAAGCTGTACGAAGAATCTAAAAACGATCCATTTTTTTTAAGGATATGATAAATTTTAAACAACCTTACATTCACAAAAGTTTTCAACGAAAGAGGAAATAAATTAAGAGCACTAATAGTGATGGGATCCTGACACCTCACACTCATTATAAGCATGTTTTTCTGAACACTGATGGGTTGCTGACACCAATTGGATTTATACAAAGCAAACGGTATACCACTACTCTGTGAACATTTTCACTTTTTTTTCACTTTTCTTTTAATAAATGAAAAAATTAAGACTACCTTTATTTCCACCTCATTTCCAAACCAGCAATAGAAAAAGAGTTCCATCGAAATCCCCGTTAAATAACAAAAATGAGGTAAAGTCTCGTGACTAACAAAGTTTTCAACCTGAAGAGAAAACTGCAATCACTAACATAAAAAATTTATAATCTCACCAAACTCAACTGAAATAAGGTAAGCGCAAGCACCATAGTACTGGTCATAAGCTGCCCCAAAATTATCATATTGAATAAACTGTTGCTAGAATTTGCAAAACTAAAATTCCAAAATTATTGTGAACTATCTAGAATCATATAATACACATTTACCGAACAATTTCCTTATGGTGGTTGACACATTCCTCAAATTTTTTTTTAAACTCATCCACCGTACCATCAAGATTGCTCAAATCGTCGCACAAAATGTCACACTGGCTCCAAGTATACATAAAGAACGCATACGTCATTGTATCTAAACTAATATTAGCTGAAGTAACGTACCAAATACCTGTCACTTGATACATATAAACAATGTTATAATTCGGCGAAATGTCAATATTAAAAGGATACCAAGCAAGAAAGGGCAACTTTTGCTCTTCATTCGTCAGTGGTGAGATTGACCACAACGTCACATTCAAAGCCACTACGGTATGAAATACAACAAAACTGACTTTCCAGAATTTTAAGGACGGTTGCAATAAATTTCTTTGATGAGCTGATTTTGGCTGAAACTGATCTCGATCGAGAACTGCAAAAAGTTGTTTTATGACTTTTAGGTTTCGTACGAAGAGGCACATTTTTATGGTTGCTAAAATGTTGGTGGTTAAAACGAAGATTGTTGCTGTTAAAGCTTCCAAATCTGTGTATACGAAAAATATGTTGATTATTTGGGATAGGTTGTGGCCTGCGACGATGACAATAGCGACAAATATAGCATATAGTGTGTAAAAATTGCAAGTGTAGAATTTTTCGGGCCAGAGTCCGATGCACTTTAAAATACAAAGGGTCACAGTGAGAGAGGTTTTCCAGTCGTATTTTTTCATTTTTGAGTCACTGGTATTTCGTTATGAAGTAGTTCTTTATTATCGAGTAACTAACGTTCTTCTAATATGGGCCATAATTCTCCGATGTGTATGAATTAACAATATGATGCTAATTACAGTGTACTCAGACGTAAGCTGAAATTTTTATTTGATTGCCGGATAAACCGTTCGGTTTGTTCTCGGTTAATTATAATAACATTCAATAAGCAGGTTTCAGTGTTCAGTAATTTCGTAAGTTTTTAATTGTTTCTATTTTTGGATAACTCTTTTTGCATTACTACGTTTTTGCGTGAACTAATAATAAAAAAATCCACAATTTTTTTTATGAAATATTATTTGTTATTTAAATTCAAAATAATTTGTAAATCGAAATATTTAGATTTTTTTTTATATTTTAGAAACACACAAACAAGACAACTTGAGAATATAAAATTCACTTCAAAACTTGAGTCACTATGAATTATTATCCATGTTTACCGTTATTTTTTTATCTTTTGGACTGCAGTTTTTATTTAAGTAATTAAAATTCAGGAGCAAATATTTTTTAATCAAATTTGCATTTAATTGCAACAATGTTCAGTGTTTATACATACTACTTAAAACTGACCACTAAGTTTTCACAAAGTAATTGACAATTAAAGAAAATTAGGATCAATTCCAAAAATGGAAAAAAATATGTTTGAATAAAAATTTAACTCAGATTATACAATGTAAGTCAGAACTTACAGACATAAAACGTAGGATACGTTAAGATAATTTGTTTTAATTTTAAAAATATACAGTCGTTTGTAGACTTTTATACATTTAGTTGAAACTAAGGATGTTTCAAAGTTTCGAATTTTCAGTCTGTTAGTATTTATTTGAATTCTCCCAGTATTAATAAAAATAGTACACACACCATATGTAATTTTTAACCCCATTAATGTGTTTATTTTTTTCTGGATGTGACGTATTCAAAATAAATGGACAAACACTGTCCTTAATTTAAATAAAATGATTGAAATCGCATTAAAAATGTTTTTAACTGCAAAATGTTTAAGACATCTGACTATTTTTTACACTTCGGAGTTACAAATATCAACATTGTTTTTAGGATGCATTTAAATATTGAAAATTGTGGAAAAGTTGTCCAGAAATCTATAAAAAAATATTTTATTTTTTTATGGTATCAGAGCTAAATTTTAGAAATATTCGGTGTGAAGGTCATTTTTTTATCCTAAAAACTCCATTTTTTCTTTGAGCGATTCCGTCAAAATAGGAAGAATTCTCGAAGAAATGCGGCCGAAAGAGACTTTTGGGAGTCGAAATCTACAAAGCAATCTGTACAAATAATTTTCGAAAGTGGTCGAAAAAAGGTTGAAATTTTCATAAGAGTGTAGATAAGTTGTATTGAAAACTTGAGCTTTTTGAAAAAAATCTCTAAAAATTCACAAAAAATTTGGGGTATAGATAGATCTCGACGTGCCAATTTGAAAAGTATAACATGTTTAAATCAATGGTGCAATAATTTAGAAAAAAAGTGAATTAAAAAGAATTATAAAAGTTGCCATTTTTCATTGGTCGATTTCGGGAAAATAGTAGGTGTTTTCGAAGAAATAAAGTCGAAACTAACTTCTGGTCGCCTAAATCGACAAACAAATCTCTCAGGGTAAATTAAGAAGATGCTTGAAAAAAAATCTGGGATATAAATTTCGACATGCTTATCCGAAAAATACAAGTTTGTAATCCCGCAACAAGATTTTTGAAACATTTGGTTTTTTTAATCCTAAAAATTGCTAGTTTTCATTGCGCTATGATGGTCGGTGTTTCAGAGAAATGAGACCGAAAATAATTCGAAATCTACAACAAAAATCTGTTTAGCTAATGTTCGAAACTAGTCGAAAAAAATATGAAATTTTCCAGTTCAAAAATTGATCTTTTGAAAGAGTTGTCCAAAAATTGACAAAAAATTCTTGGACATAGATCTCGATGTACTAATTCCAAAAATATACCATATTTATACTCCCAGTGAAGATTTTAGAAAATATTCAGTTTGAAGCTCAATTTAAAAAAAATACCAAAAACTGATATTTTTCATTGGGGATTTCGGAAGAACACTGAAACTTTTCAAAGAAGTGAGGCCGAAAGTAACTTCTGAGAGTCCAAACCTACAAAAAATCTCTTTGGATAATTTAGGAAGATAGTCGAAAACAAGTCGAAATCTAATAAGTGTTATTGAAAACTTGATCTTTTGAAAAAGTTGTCTCAAAATCGACAAAAAGTTCTGAAATCTAAATTTCGACATGCTGATTCAAAAAATGTAGTGTGGTTATGTCCCGGAGAAAGTTCAAAATTATATTATTTAGACCTAAAATTTGACAATTTTCATTGGGCGACTCTGAATAAATGGTAGGAGTTTTCTGAGAAATGAGGCCAAAAATAACTCTTGAAGGTCGAAATCTATAAGGAAACTTCTTTAAGTAACTTCGGAAACTGGTTGAAAAAAGTTGAAATTTTCATGACTTAAAAATTTGAGTTTTTGGAATAGATGCCCAAAAATCGAAAAAAAATTCTTGGATATAGAACTCGACATGCTAATTCCAAAAATATAGAAAATATTTAATTTGAAGTTCAATTTTAAAAAATATCAAAAATTGATATTTTTCAATGGACGATTTCGCAAGAACACCGGAAGTTTCCAAAGATATTATGCATAAGTGCTATTGAAAAATTGAGCTTTTGAAAAAAATAGACAAAAAATTCTAAGATCAAGATTTCGACGTATTGGCTCAAAAAACAGTGTGTTTATGTTACGGAGAAAGTCTGTTTGAAAATTATGTTTTTTAAATCTAAAATTTGAGGCCAAAGTCTACAAGGAAGTTTATTTAGGTAACTTTCGAAACTGAAATGAAGAAAGTAGAAATTTTCATAGCATTCAAAATTTGAGCTTTTGGAATAAATCAAAAAAAAATTCTTAGATATAATAAGCTTCCACGTTCGGTAGAAGTAACTGACAGAAACTTTTCTGTGGTTAAGTTGCAATCTTAAGATCACTAGAAATTTAAGATTGGCATCAACTGGTTTTCAAAAAATTGGGTAAAACGGAAACAGTTAAACTGGTGGCAGAAATATTCTCCGTAAAGTTCGCTAGTGTTGTCGAGTGTTTTTCGAATTTTAAAATAATACAGATACAGCGGCGCTTGTGCCGTTAATATTATAATCAGAATCAGAAAGACGACTGCGAAGATTTATATACCTACATGCTTTGTTGGTTCCGTTCTACAATTGGTTTTTAAGTTTTATATAATCGTTATTGTTTTGTAAGAGGTAAAACACTTGGCTTTGAAAATAATTGTACATAATACACGTATAAATTTAGGTTTCCGAAGGCGAAGTTTTTCACATTTTAAACACGTTATAGCTGCCAGAATCAAATTTCTAAGGCGGTACCTATCTCCAATTGCGTGATTGTGGTGAAGATTTACTTTTCATTTTCTTGAATGAGACATGGATATACCAGAACGGATCCATGGTGAAATTGTGGATCCATGATGATGACATCAAAGCTTGTCCTCCTAAAAAAACTAGTGAAGGGAAAAGATTCAAAATTTTACCTGCGGGTTGCTCTTTGGGCTTTCAGAGGGATGCGATTTTCTCCTTGGTTCAAAAATAGATTCACCAGATTACCACAAAACCATCACATTTTCGATATTTGACCTTTACTTACTTACATGTCACATTTTTGATAGCTACTTTCTGACATTCCAGTAATATATTATACACTAGAACAATTATGTCCGCAGTTACACAGCTTAAAAAAAAAAAGTTACCAAATCTAGTTACATCTACCGAACGTGAATTCCTTATAGAATTCGACATGCTAATTCCAAAAATATAGCAATTTGATGGTCCCAAAGCAGAATTTTGGTACTAGACTTGAAGTTCACTTAAAAAAAGGATCCTAAAATCTCCCATTTTTTATTAGGCAATTACTAAAGAACAGTAGTAGTTTTCGAAGAAATGAGACCGAAAAGAACTGGGTTTTGATATCTATAAAAAATCTTTTTTTAGGTCGTCGAAAAAGGTTCAAATTTTCAGACAGTTTAATACTGCTTTTTCGTATTATTCGTCGTTTTTGTCCGTTTTCGTCCTTTTTCGTCCTTTTTCGTCCTTTTCGTCCTTATTGATCCTTTTTCGTATTTTTCGTTATTTTAGTCCTTTTTCGTATATTTCGTCCTTTTCGTCCTATTTCCTTCTTTTCGTTCTTTTTCGTCCTTGCTCGTCCTTTTTCGTCTTTGGTTGTCTTTTTTCGTCCTGTCTCGTATTTTTTGTCCTTCGTCCTTTTTCGCCCTTTTTCGTCTGTTTTCGTCCGTTTTCGTCCTTTTTCGTCCACATTCGTCCCTTTTCGTCCTTCTTCGTCCTTTTTCGTCCTTCGTCCTTCTTCGTCTTCTTTCGTCCTTTTACATCCTTTTCGTCCTTCGTCGTCCTTTTTCGTCCTTCATCTTTTTCGTCCTCTTTCTTCCTTTTTGAAAAGTTGAACTTTTTTAAAAAGTTTTTTTTTGGTTCCGGAATAAGATTTTAGAAAAATTTAGATTAAAGTTGATTTTGCAAAAATTGCAGGAGTTCTCGAATTTTTCGTGTTTTTCGTAGTTTTCACCCTTTCCGTCCTTTCCCGTCCATTTTCGTCCTTTTTCATCCTTTTCGTTCTTCTTCATCCTTTTTCGTCCTTCATCTTTTTCGTTCTTTTCGTCCTTTTTCGTCCTGTTTTGTCCTTCGTCCTTATTCGTCCTTATTCGTCCTTCTTCGCCCTTCTTTGTCCCTTTTCGTTCTTTTCGCCCTTCTTCGTCCTTCTTCGTCCTCATTCGTCCTTCTTCATCCTACTTCGTCCTTTTTCGTCATTTTCGCCCTTCTTCGTCCTTTTTCGTCCTTCCTCCTTTTTCGTCCTTCGTCCTTTTCTGTCCTTCGTCCTTTTTCGTCCGTTTTCGTATTTTCGTCCGTATTCGTCCTTTTTCGCCCTTTTCCGTCCTTTTCGTCCTTCTTCGTCCTTTTTCGTCCTTTTTCGTACTTTCCATCCTTTTCGTCCTTCTTCGCCCTTCTTCATCCTTTTTCAACCTTCGTCCTTTCGGCCTTTTTGAAAAATTGAGCTTTTTTAAAAAGTTTTTTTATGGTTCCGGAATAAGATTTTAGAAATATTTAGATTAAAGTTGATTTTGGAAAATTAGGAGTTCTCGAAGAAATAAGGCCGGAAGTAACTTCTGGAATTCGAAACCTACAAAACAATATTGAGTTTAAAAAAGTTATCTAAAAATCCATAAAAAATTCTGGGATATAGATCTCGCCTTGCTGTTTCCAAAAATTTAATATTTTTATGGCCCCGGAGTATGATTTTAGAAATATTCTGCCGAAATTTTCTCAAATTGTCTAAAAATCTATACAAATTTCTAAGCTATAAATCTCCACGTGCTATTTCAAAAAAAGTAATATGTATGTTTAAGGTTCGAGAGTAGAAATATTCAGTTTGGAAATCTTTTTTATTTTAAAAAGTGTCCTTTATCGTTTGGTGATTCTAGCAAAATGATAAGCGTTTTCTAAGAAATGAGGTGAAAGCAACTTCCGGAGGTTGAAAACAACAAAAAATCTTTCTGGGTAATTTTTGAAGGTGATCAACAAAATTGAAACCAAATTTTCCTAATATTTATAATTGAAAAATTGAACTTTCCAAAAAGTTGATAAAAATCCCCATCTATAGTATATTTATCAAATGAATAAATAGAATTTTTATTGTGATGAAGAAAATTACGTCATGCTTAATTTGTTTGAAAAAAATCAAAAACCAAACAATTAAAAGAAATAACTAATCTGAAGGAAAACTAGGGACGAAGTGATCCTATCAAAAAAACACCGTAAATGAAGACCGTTAAACTGAAATGTCAAAAAACTTATGTAAAATGGTTATATCGAGTGTTATTATGATAATAACGTAAATTTATAATATATATTTTTATGTCAACTTATTTTTTAATTATATTGTGAAGGAGTACACAGTGAGGGTGTAAAATTGTGTTTTTAAAAAATTCGCACTCTCTACACACAGTTTTGTTTCATATGATGTCGTCACTTTATTTTGACAATGTGAACAAAGCAGTTTCAGTGGATAAACGCAACAAATTTCAACAAAATATGCCATTCACATGTATTAATTCATGCTTATTTAAACTAATTAAAATTATTTCTTTGTTATTCTAAGATTTCGTAGGAGTTCCCGAAAATATATATATTTTAACAAAAAAAAAAATATATAAACGAGTTTGTGCTTAGAGGCTTTATTTCGTGTTTAAAACTTGTTATTATTCTTTAAACCAGGAAACTTCTATGGATTGTTAACTTTATAAAGAACGGCAAAATAGGACCAAGCAGTTCGAAGTATCTACAAAATTTTAATTATTCCTCTTTTACAATAAACAAAAATTGGAAACCTCACAGCAACAAAAGTTCGCAAAGACAAAGCGAACAAATTTAAAGCTGTTATTTTGATGGGATTCTGACACCTCACACTAAAAATCAAAAGATTTTTTTTCACATGGGTAGGTTGGTCAAACCAGTCAGACTTATAGAGCGCAAATGGAATTTGAGAACTCTGTTAAACACCAGAAACAAAATTTTTGTAGTATTTGTATCGTACAATTAAAACCGAATGTAAATACCTTGATTTCGACTTCATTGCCAAACCAGCAGTACAACAAAAGCTGTGTCGAAATTCCGGTTATGTACGACAGGTGAGTAAAAGCTTCTTCACTTACAGGATCTTCAACCTAAAGAAAGTCAAAAATTTAATCACTGGAGGTAAATTTATAGCAAACGTACTAAGCTCAGCTGGAACATAGTCAGTGCTAGAACTAGCGTACTAGTAGCGAACTGTCCGAATATTAACATATTGAAAAATTCGTTACTTTTTGTGGCGAAACTAAAACAAAATTTATTAATTAAAAGTAACCAAAATCAAAACAATGTTCTTACCGAACTATCTGCTTGTGATGTTTGACACATTCTCTAAACTTCGTCTCAAACCCAATTTCACCATTCATTTTACTTAGATCGTCACATAAAAGGTCACACTGGCTCCAAATGTACATCAAAAGAGCGTAAGTTAATGAGTCTAGATTTATATTAGCTGCTGTTATGTACCAGATACATACAACCTGATACGTGTAGACAACATGATAATTTAACGAATTTTCTGTATCGAAAGGATACCACGCAACAAAGGGAAATTTCTGGTTTTCGTTTAACAAGGGAGCAATGGACCACAGCAGCACATTTGTCGCCACAATGGTGTGAAACACTGTATAAGAAATCATCCACCGTTTTAGAGATGGTTGAATTAAATTCACTTGATCTGCGGATTTCGGCTGAAATTGTTGTTCGTTGAGTTGTCTAAAAAGCTGTTTAATCACATTTAAGTTTCGCACAAAAAAATACATTTTTATTGTCGCCAGAATGTTAGTTGTTAAGACGAATATCGTCGCTGTCACTGCTTCTAAGTCTGTATATACGAAGAAAATCTTGATAATTTGTGACAGATTGTGGCCACCAATTATAACAATTGCGTTAAATGCAGCATAAAACGTGTAAAAATTGGGTTCGTAGAGCTTATTTTTTTCAGGCCATAGTCCAACACATCTGAGGACCCATAGATTTACACCAATTGTGGCAATCCAGTCAAATCTTGACATTTTCGTTACGATGCGTAAAAGCAGTAATGCATACGTGAGCTTTTTTTATTTCACTGTGAAAATTAATGTGTGTAATGGCTAAGAAGTTAATGTAACAACAGCCAGCCGACTAATGCCACACCGTCAATATAAATGTCGTCGGTAGACACTAAGTACGGCATTAATTAACAATGCGATCAAAATGAAATTATAGTTTGTTCGAGCAAAACTGGAAAAATTTATTTAATTACCATACAAAATTGTCTGGTGCCTCTGTCCCGAACCCATCAATTACAAACTTTTCTAATTGAAGCTCACAACCTGCTATTATTATATTTCTTTCGATTCTGCCCACAGACAATTTTTTTCAGAAGTTTTACCAGGAAAACAAGAGACGATTTTTTGGTGAATTAGATCGAAGGTGCTTATTGAATATTTTATTTACAAGAAATTCTTATGCAGTTTGCGTGAGTACGAAAATATTGATATTGAACTGTTGAGATAATTAAGTTCATTCATCAATAACCAGGAAGTCATCCTATTTTTGACACCTTAAAAGTGATTTTATTCTGTTTGATATCGTTGGAAAAAATAAGACTTGCGTATTAAAACGAAAATTTAGTTGTTAAATTTTATTATTAAAATAATTTTAAAACAAAACGTGTGATGGACTTTTTTATTTCAAACTTGGAATTTTAATAGCTAGCATGCAATACAAGGTGACTACCAAAGTTAGCACAAATATAAATCATGACCATGATTTTTTATCAGTGTTTACTGTTAGGTAAGTAGGCAACCGCTAATTCAAATTAATAGATTGCTAGATATTTCATGTAAACGACAAATTATTTTTAAAAGTGAAGTGACAGATTGTCCAAAACCAACTTCATGTACAATATTTTATAAGTATAAATATATACATTAATTTATAAAATATGTATATATTAAAAAAAAAAAAACAGTGAACGAGATTTAGACATACATTCAACATTTCCTACATACAGTGTGAAACTAAAAATAGTAAGCCATTTTTGGTTGAATCAATAACATACGCTATTCTATACATTTTTTGGAGACATCCTGTATAAACAATTCTGAGGAATGTGAATGTGTGGATAAACCGCAAGTTAGTAAGTTTTTTTTTTTTTTGAGGAAATGAATAGAAAAATGGTATTCAAATGGCAATTTTTTCCAATGAATCTAACGTTAAATATGAAGCGGGATTAACAAAACACAGATATTATTTTTCACAATTTAAATAGTAATTACTTAGCAAATTTTTGAGATGACGTCATGTCACTTTTGGTGGGAACGAGCAGTCAGTGTTTTACCGTGAACACGATATTCTCGAAATAGATCTAATATTTCAGAAGAAATTGGTGGGCTACTTTTTTATACTCCAGGAGCTATGAAGAAAACATGAAACAATTCGTCAAATGCATTACTTCGTCAGATTACGCTTAAGAAATAAAAATCTGTAGGACTTAGGTTGAAGAAAGAAGTTAATTGACATGAATTGAAGAAGACCATAAAGGAATTTTATTTTTAAAAAAGGAAAAATTTTGATATTGGTACATCGTTTAAGGTCGAGGAAGAGAACAGCGGAAGAAGTTCTTGATTATTTCAATAGTAAAAAATGCCAATTTGGAAACTATAAAATGTAGGGAAAGATGAAGACCAATAAAAAGAGACAGAACTTCCCTCTCCACTGAAGTACAGTCCAACAAATCCGATATTTTGAAAAATGATGAAATTTAATTTTGCGACATTTTATTTGTGTAAACCTCTATACATAGAAAATATAGATAAGAGCAATAACAGTTACGAAAAAAGAAAAACCCATGAGAGGAAATCAAAAGCTTCGACTGTTTTCGCATTGCAAGTTCGAGGCTTTCCAATTACAAGTCCGATTTTCGAAATTTTAACCACAATTTGTACTTTTTGGGAAAATTTTGATACCTAGGATTTATAAACCACAAATATAGGAGTACTTCATGTTATACAATTTAAATGGGTCTAATAAAAAATTTTCAAGTGAGCGATGTACTCTCGATGGACTCTAATATAGTGCTTCCTTAGCTGATGTTCAGAAAGTAAAAATAAAATTCTATGTTTGACTCAAAAATTACCATTACTAATAACACCGTTAGTTGCGACTTTCGGATGTCAAATGTTTCTCTCTTTGTGTTCTATGACATTTTGATCTATAATAAACTTGTGAAATTTAGGTTATACATAATAGAACCTTCTTAACAAATGTCTACTTTCATGTTTTTCCATATCCGGACATCAGGGCAGATACATTTCTAAATTAGGAAAATGATTACTTCATAATTTCGGATATATTTCAAATTTATCTTTTTTTGTATGTAGGTGTTGATCAGTTTGGTACTTTTCTCTACATTCTCATTCATTATTGTAGTTTCATAACAAGTATATGTAAAATGGATCATAGGTATTTTTGCGTGTTATACTGATTTAACTTATTGTCAGAACATCTATACCAATGTACCGATTAGAAATGTAAAAGAATATCGCCAAATAATGATTATTCTGAATGTAATATACACTGGGCGGAAAAATATCTTACGGATGCAATTCCCCAGTTGAAGCAAGGTGTGTTTTACGGCGAGTAGCGGGGACGCTTTGATCTGGTCCACAAGGTCGTAGCCAGTGCGTCGCTTGGAGTGTTTACAGCTTGTTAAAAAACTACTTCTATATTACTATATTACTTCAAATAAAAATACTCGATGCCCTTTTTAATTTTTCAAACACAGGACCACAGATTTGTGATCTTGAAATGTTATATTATGTTGATATAGTCCAAAAGAAAAATATATTTGTAATCAAACTATCGCCGCGACAGCACTGGATCGAGCGTATGAAACACAATTCCGCGCGTTGGTAATATATTAGGGAAGGGATTAACCATATTTTTAAGTATCTTGATACGTGAATACGATAAGCAAACCGACAATGATTTTATAAATGTTAGGTTTTTTTTTACATAAAAACGCATGTCTTTCCATTGTTTAAGTGCAAATAAACACATTTTAATTATCTTGATAAAATTTCAGTCAAAAATAACAATTTCAAAATGATTTGAAAAAAAATTTGCAAAAATGGTGGAGGCGCCGGGATAATAAATAAAATATTATTTTCTGGAATCTTAAAAACTCCTTTATGAATCAGTCAAACAATGGTTTTATAATGAGATTTACTAAAATAGAGCGACCCATTCAATTTGGCTACAATTTTAGAAATATAGGAATCTTGCAAACAGTGTTAAATTGTAGATCTCATCAATATATTTGTCCCTGGCAAAAATTTGACGACGTCTTTTCACAAAAAATTAGCAACTGGACCCGTCTAAACACGTTTATGTCTACTACGACTATTAATTAGTGTATTATTCGGAGAATAGTTTTACTATAGCAAGGACAAATGTATTTTCAAAAGGGTTTTAAGTCAAGAAGCGTCGGTTCAGCAGTGATATGCGATTGAAAAAACGAAGCAAGAAGACACAAGTAAGATATTTGGAATTTTGTCTATTACTGTACTAAAACCACCCCAATAAGCCTGACAATACTAACAACAGATGTTTCCATCAAAAAACTAACATCGGCTTAAAAAAATAAATAAATATACGCTTAGATGATATTCACAGGGAAAACACTAAATTATTTTCTATATTATTTTTTATTTTTTTTTAAATATATGTATAGAATTAAGTACTATTTAGCATATAAAAGTAACAGTCAAAAATAATTTAGTTTCAATAGTAACTTAGTAGTAAAAATAAATGTGTGTACTTAATTTTAAATTTTAAATAAACATCTACCAATTCTATTTTTAAAAACTGAATAACACTTACTACTGATGAACGTTGTATAAAACGACAAAATAAGACCAAGCAGTGCGAATAATCTGCAAAACAATAAGAACTAACGAACCTTCATCTAAAACCAAACAAAGTACTTACATTGATAAACGTGTTAAGTGAAAGAGCAAACAAATTTATTGCTGTTATCTGAATCGGCCTTTGACATCGTTGACTCAAAATTAACATATTTTTCTTGGCGTAGAGGGGCTGATCATACCACTGCGATACGTACACAGCGTATGGGATTTTACTACTCTAATAAAAAATGAAAAAGAACTTTAGTTTTAAAAAAATTAGTAATATTAAGACATTATACCTTAATTTCCACTTCAGTGCCAAACCAACAATAGATAAATAATTGTATCATAATACCTATAATATATAGCAAACTTACTAACGCCTCTTGGTTTACAGATTCAACCTAGAGCCACAAAAGTACGCTAATTTAAATAATACAATTGTGTAAATCTTACCAAACTCAACTGGAACATAGTTAAAGCCAGAGTCATCGTGCTAGTGGCAAACTGACCCAAAATTACCATATCAATTAAACTATTACTTTTTTTGGCAAATCTGAAATACGCGAGTACATATCTAATCAAAAAATATTAGTCAAATTTTAATAATTTACCTCACTATTTTCGCATGATGTTTTACGCAGTTAATCAGTTTTTGATTAAACTGTGCTGGATCCCCATCAAGGTGACTTAAATTATCACACAAAATATCACACTGCGCCCAAATAAACATTAACAAAGCGTATAAAAACGCATCCACGTTTATATTAGCAGCTGATATGTAAGTGAAACTAAAAACTTGATACATGAACACGATTTCATAATTTGGCGATTTTTCCACGCTGAAGGGATACCACGAAACAAGTGGCAATTGATAACCTTCGCTCAAAAGTGGAACCAGTAACCACAATACCAAATTCGACGACACGTAGCTCATAAACACGAAATATGACATTTTCCAGCGTTTCAGTGATGGCTGAACTAATTTAATTTGTTCCTTGGACTTTGGTTGAGCTTCATCGCTGTCCAGAATTGCTAATATGCTGTGTATAGATCTTAAATTTCTTACAAAAATGAGCATTTTAGCTAAACCCAGGAAATTTGTGGCTAGGATGAAGCAC